AGACTACTTAAAATAGACAATGACTAAAGTTGTACATGTAGCTTGTTGTACACTCTTCATATAATTACAAACAGTAGGGACTATTAATAGATATCCTGTATGCAATTCTAATAAAATTCTTTCAGCAATATAAGCTGTCTTAATAACAAAAAAAAAAAAAAAAATGATAGCTAGCATCAGATAATAGGAAAGTGTATCATAGTAATGAATCACTATATATCAAAACTTTACAATTAGTATATAGAGAAAATAAAAAATTACTCAATAAAGAATTAGTTATAAATATAGGAAGAGTAGAAATAAGTTTAGTTAGTTTAGAAGAAGTAATTATTCAGCAAGTAATTAAAAATAAAAAGATACAAAAAGAGTTAAGTAATATTTTTTTTTTTTTTTTTTTAACTTAGGTGATCTTGTCTATTATTTTATTAAGAATAAGCTAATTTAAGCTACAAGTAAAATGCTATACCATTTATAACAAACTACTTTCCTAAAACTAATCTAAACTCACTCGGTTACTTTTTAGCACCTAAGTGCGATCTGCCACAGCAACTATTTCTCTCATAGGAGTTTAAATTTGTATATACAAATTACTAGCTCTTAGTCAGCAAGAAGCTATTACCAGCCTATATCAAAATCACCTAATTTGTTTTGAACCTTAACCATCCTTCCTTACCACCTGACCTTATCTATCTGTCAACTTTGTCAGAAGCTGCTTTTTGAATTCTTGTTTCTTTCTCCTTTTTTGGTTCTTTTGTTTCATTTATAGGAGGTATATTCTCTTTATTCGCCTTTCTTTTTTCCTTTGTCTTTTTTCTTTTTTTCTCTTTAGTTGTGATGTTGTGCTCTTTTTCCCATTCAACCATCACTTCACACCTGAACTTCTATAATCGTTCATAGAAACAAGACCAGAATTGTTCAATAAAACTGATTAATACCTTGTTTGCCTTGCTTTTGAACTTCGCTATTTTGCATATATCTGCATGTTGCTTCTTATTTGTGAGGCCTCTGAGGTGCATCTTTCTGATATGTATCTTTTCTTCCGAGTTTTCACCATAGAGTACTTTCCTCAATGCATCATCTTCAAATGATAGATCCAACTTTGTTAACACTTCGAGACTTATTAGGTATAGAGTTTTCTCTTCTAGGTTCCTCCATATTTTTTGGTAGATTTCACATTTTGCTAGGTGATACAAGGTTTTATTCTTTCTTAAGCAGGCTATGCATCTACTGCTCTTGTATAGTTTGGGATTTCTCCGATAGCAGATGTCTTTTGTTAGTAGAATATCATTAATATATTTTATACGAAACATTAGGTCTCTGCTTTTCTTTAGACTAATACACTTTTTTCCTTATCACTTTTTAAGTGCTTCCCAAGTATTTTTCCAAATTAGCTCTTTGCTAGCATTGTCTCTCTAATTTAGGGCTATGATATCTGCTACTTTGCTTAGTTCAGCCCATTCTGTTTCGTATATTATCACAGTTGTTATATTTTTAAATGACCTGAGTGAGCAGTCTATTATTTGATCTTTCCACTTTAGTATAACTCAGATATTGCCTAGTATTGTTTCTAGTACTTTGAGTATATCCGTTCTCCTAGTACCTTCTTTAGCTAAATGATCTGCTTGCTCATTCCATTTGTCTTCGCTATGACCTTTGATTTTATGTAGTGACAAATTTAGACTTTTTGCTACACAGCAGTCTTTTATCTGTCTCAATAAGCTTCTATTTTTCATTTTAAACCAACTTTTTAGCTTGTTGTCATCTAAACACTTTTCAATAGCTTCTATTGCTGCTTTGCTATCAGTGAATATATGAATTTAGGCCCTACACAGTACTGTTAGCAAGGCTGCCCATATAGCTCCTAATTCTGCACAAGTTGACGAAGGCCAGTTTTCTATACTACAACTAAAACTAATACTACTATCTATTCCCTCCTTATTTCTGACTAACCAAC